AACGAACCGCGAGCACTTGAAATAGTCGTCCTCCCGCCCTCGAGCGACTCCCCTTCGTCACACAACCTGACAGCGCGTTGAATGTACTACGGCTTAAATTGTGTACATTATTAACCAAATTTCGTATATTATCCGTGCTGTGCAGACAAGACACTAAAAGGTCCGGTGTACAAATACAATAATCCATTACGCTCACTCCACTCTACCGACAGGGAANTTGCGTGCATGGCTTCCTTCTGCAGGTAACGGGGAGACGCGCTCTGGCGGCGGTCTCGTTAAGGATCCGAAAATACAATTTAAATATTTTGCACACTTATTCCACTTATTCCTAGTTACGGTGCCGCGTGCCAATGCTGGCACGCGTGCCAGGGGTTGCCGACCCCTGCTTTAGCTAAAAGGAAAAAGTAATGGTTTCTGGATTTAGTTTTGTAATGATTGTTTCATTTTCTTACAGTGGAATGAAGCAGTGGAACTGGCCAGGACTCACAACATGAAGGAGATCAAATCTCTTCTCTCCAAGTACGCTTCACATCTTCTGGAGAAGAGTAAAACTTTAGAGGTGGTGGAGCTCTATCGGAAAGCCCACTATTTTCTCGATGCAGCCAAACTCATGTTTAAGGTAGGCTCATGTTTGAAGCTACTTTTAAGTAAAGATGTATTTTTACAGACCTTAATTTGATGTAGAAGCCCCTGAAACTGTATGACATATACATAGGGATATTTTCCCTTCACACTAACATAGTAACTGTTGGACATTGTCAGTGTGTTACCACGGAAACATAGAATGTTGAGAGTAACTGTTTACAACAGTTTTCTTGTTAAACTTTAAGCTGTGTAAATAAACGACACACACATTGTCTAGTCTTAAGACGGAAGTCTGTTTTCTCACAACTTCTACAATATTATATGTATATAGATACTAAATAAATATATATATATACTTTTAGTTTAAGTATGCGGTTTCTACATTACTATAAAAATAATATTAATTAAACTAAATGTAGCTTAAATTAACTTGTGTTTTCAGCTTCCATCGTCAGCTTTATATTAGTATTTTAAGGCCATGTTTGACCTTATGGCAAGAAGATACCAGCAGCTGTGTTTTTCATGTATATTTATTTAATCAATTTGATTTCATCTGACCAGAGGTGGGAGAAGTACTCAGATCTTGTAATTGAGTACAAGTAACGTTCCTGCATTCAGAATGTTACTCAAGTAAAAGTACACAAGTATGAGTGTCAAAATATACTTAAAGTACCAAAAGTGAAGTACTCATTCTGCAGGTTTGCCCATTTCAGAATAATATCTACTATGATATGTTTTATAATGATTGATCATTAAAGTGTTCTCAAAGCTGGTAAAGGTGCAGCTACTTTGAATGACTTTGTATACTGCAGGGTAGCTTGTGAAGTTACTCCAGGGGGGTATACTACGAACTACGAAGCAGGATTTTCGCTTAGCCGGCTAACTTCAGGGAATACTCGGGGTTTCCGGTCCTACGAAGCTGGTTCTCTTTTTAGGAGGCTAGATCTCCATGGTAACTTATGCTGTGCGGCTAACCTGCCCCGGAGCAGGTTAGGTTGCAGGCTAACCCCTAGTTTCCACCGGGTCCGTCTGCGTCGCGTTACGGCCGCGTTACGACTGCGCCGCGAGGATCGCGGCCACTCTAGTCAATGGGTGCTATTCCACCAGACGTGCCGCGTTACGGCTCAGAAGCGTCCCAGAAGCGCCTCGCCGCTGGGCTCCGCTCGAAATAGGATTGAAGTCTATTTTTCGACGCGACACAGCCGTAAGGTAAGGTCGGGCAGGCAGGAAGTGGAACGTTCAGAGCATATATAGCATATATATATATATATATATATATATATATATATCTCACGACAGGCCGTGGTATATGCTCATTATATCACAGCTAAGGGGCGTGGTTCCGCCCGACGCGAAGCGGAGGGTCGACAACCCCCTTAGCTGCAGGCAGTTTGCTTTTCAGCCCAACGGTACCCTATACTGTTTTTCTCAGACGCGGAGGGATACTGACTTGTTGTGAAAAGTAACTTACAATTCTACCCGTGGTATACGCTCAGTATATCACGGCTAAGAACCAATCAGATTGCTTGATTTGACTTGTCCGTTTTATAAATATTATATATATATAATATTTAGTATATATTATATATACACATATACATACATATATATATATATATAACATATATGTATATGTATATATAACATTACAGCTATATATACACTAGGGCGTTTTCACAAGCTACCCAATATCTTACTAGTCGACAACGTTTTTCAATAGCAGTCGACTAGTCGACTAGTCGGTGTATGTCATGAATAAAACACACAAAGAGAGGTGTACAACTGTATGTTTATATTGGAAACTCATACAGGTAACATTAAACACTTTTTGCATTTTAATTTGTGTTTACATGCTGCAGTAAATAACAAGCAGTAAACGGACTCTCCAAAATTGACAGCAAAAAAACTCTCATTATTTCACATAAAAATGCCACGTATACGTCTACTTTTATGTTATTTTTGGTTTGAAACCAACCTTCTGATGTGAGGGAAGGAGGCTTTGATTGTTCTTTTCGTGTGGAGGTCTG